CCACTACTCAGCTTTATCTAGCACTATAATATTGCTTTTGAATTGTTTTACAATATTAGTTAGATATCGACTAAGTAAGCAAGCTAGCATTAAACTTTCCTGAAATAATGAAAGAGATGTTGTTTTTTTCACAATATATACTATATTATATACAAATCAAATAAAGAAATGATGTTTACCTATGGGGGAAACCCCCAAAAAAAAAAAATATACCAGCTCAACAGAAAAAACAATTGATGAATTGGTAATAATACATCACAAAATAGAAAAACTCAAAGAAATTATAGCCTACACAGATGGATTCCTAGACCTAAACCAAAAAATGGGATTCAGTTGACATATTATCCAAGAACTAGATATCAGCTTCCAAGGAAAAATAACCAAATTCTCATCTTCTATAAGAGCAGAACTCACAGCAATCCTAACCTTTCTCACAACAGCCCTGACCAATAGTAAAATAACTATTTACAGTGATAGCCAAGCAGCCTTAGAAGCAATTAACAAAGCACAAACAAACCCAGCCCAACTGAAAGTCATGAGAAACAACAATATAATCAATTCTATAATCCACATCATAGAAAGTCAAAAACTAATTACAATATGGAAAAAAATCAAAGCACATAGTAATGACAAACACAATGACAGAGCAGATATCCTAGCAAAGGAAGCAAAATCTCAGAAAAGGCATTTGAAATAGAATGTGTACCTATTAGAAATAACAAAGTACAATGAACACAAGAATGGAATGGCAATACTCTAAACAACACTATTACAATCTTAATCAAAAACCTCATTAGAGCAAAACATATTCTCAACTGAAGAAGCTTGGATCGCAACCTTATAACAACCGATAACAACTCCACACTAAATAACATCGCATAGGAAAAGTCACTACTCAACAGAGAACCATCAAAACTCACAACAGGACCAACCTACCAAGAAGACCACATCAACAGATCCTTCAGAATCAGACTTTGGAATCTAGAACTATCTACCAAGGACAAACTACATAAAAGAGTAGCAAATACATACTCAGACAACCAATGTCTTAACTGTTGACAAATAAAAACAAATACACGTTGCATAATTTGCGAAGGTAATGGGACAGATATATAAAAAAAGTTACAACAAATAATAAATAAGAAAGTCAGTAGTAGAAACAAAAAACCCATAGAGAACAACTTAAACAGAGAACTCAACAAATAAGTAAAATACTGGACACAGAAAGTGAAAAACTATATAGCAAGAGGGGCTCTTATAGTGGACATGATCAAAACTATTAAAAAATATACACCAGTAGAAAACCAAAAAGAAACCATAAAAAACATAATCAACAGATTCCTCAACGCAATACAAGAAAGTGGAAATACAGATGCAACAATTTCACACAATGGAAAAAGGAATACTACATCACCGCAAAAGACAAAAAACAATAGAAACCCATAAACACAAAAAAGAATCTACACAAATTCATCATCCCAGGAATCAACGAGATCATGAAATTCGCCAGCCACCACTGAATCAACTGGAATACAATCTACTCTTTTAAAACAAAATTTTTATGGGACAGGTAGAGTCTTGGCAAATTAGTCAAGTATATATCAGTACTTGGCAATAAGTCGCATGATAGAGAAACCTCTTAGTGAGTTTATCTAGGTAGACAAAGTGATAAATTTGTACAAAATAAATTTGTACATACTCATTATAAAATATTTAATAAACAAGGTATAAGCCACCCATTAAAAAAAAAAAGTTTATTAATTAAATTATTGTGCAAATACAAGTTTGATATATAATTAATGTCTATTTCTTTACTGTATAATTTTATAATTATTTATATTACCTGTAATGTGTTCATAAATTGATTGTTATATTCTGCAAATTTTTAAATAAACTTTTTCAAATTTTTATTATTTACTTATATATAATTTAATATATTTGATTTTATACTATACACTTATTTTATATTTTTATCTTTGTTTATATTATATTTCTTCTATTTATATAAACTAACAATATAAATAATTTATATCTTTATTTAAATCAAATTATTCATATATTAGTTTTCTTGTTAATACTTAATATATTTAAATTTTTATTAATTTAAAAATTTTTTGTTTAAATCTATTGTATATAAAATTAAATTTTATTATAATATTTGTTATAAATAAACATGTTAATATTTTTTAATTAATTATTAGATATTACTAATTTTAATAAAAATAAAAACAAACAAAAACTTTTTTATATCTTTTATTTTTAAGAATTTTTCAATATCTATAAATTATCTATTAGAGTATTATTTTCTTTATTTTAAAATTAGAAAGAATAATTTTAGTAATCAACTTTAATAATTTTATTCCAATTGATTCAAAGGTAAACAAAATTCTTTTGAAAATTTTTAAAAAAATTAATGATATATTAAAAATATAGCTATTCTTATATTGTGAAGATTTTTGAAAGATCAAGATATTCTACAATTATTCAATTCATTCTTTCTGATAAAAATACTGATATTATGATAATAAGAAAAAGAAGCAAAATAAATTGTTTTTTTTTCGAAAAACTCTTTCTTGTCATTAAGTAAACAAAACAGCGCAAGGCTAAGAAGGTTCTTGTCAATGTTTGCAAAGTTTGCATTAAGGAAAATATATAGATTATCCAAAGAATAAAGACAAGCTTTAGACTGAATGCCATTTTGAAGTGATCGATGCAAAGAGTTGATACATCTTATTTTAAAAAAATGTAAAATATTATTGTTCAAATATTATTGAATCATATTTTTGGATGCTTTCTTATTATTCCGTAGTCTCTTTCTAAAAGTAAAGCAAAGTTTATTATTTTCTTACCTTTTTGAGGCGTCTTTTCTCCTTTCTTATAATTTTTTGATAAAAATAGGATAGGGTGGTCATTATTTATAGCAATCAATTTTACAGTACAGTATTCACGAAAAATTACTCCTTACAGAGGAAGAATTTTACCCTAAAAAAAACATATAAATAGTATATAATGTTTAAATTTTACTTTAGATTATTTCCTTGAGATTGTTTGTTCGTCTAATTACAGTACTGTACTGCATATGCCAAACGTGAGGGTGTTCAGGGAAAATCAAGTTTTGACAAAGATCCTGTCGTGATGCGCATATATGTTATGCGGTTATTTTTCTACTGGTTATTTGATCCGGAAATCATAGAAGTGACCATAGTAAAACAGATGGTATCCCGTTAACTCCAAACATTTAACAAATATGTAAAATATTTTTTCGGAATCGTTTTCTTGATTATTTTGCGTTGAGTGAAACGATATGGTAATGTGAGTATAAAAGAAACGCGAATTCAACCATCTCCCCCAAATACTTTTTTTTAAAAAGTTCACGTTTATTTAAAAAGATGATTATCAAATTTATATTTATTCTTTTCTGTTTAATTTCATGTTGTCTCGCGGATGGAAACAACACCAATATCCTTGAAACTTTTAAGCCGTTGCCCGAAACCCCCAAAAACACAACTCGATATTACACTCTCGTGTTGGACAAAACTCTGTTGGCTCCGGACGGTTATAATCGAACGGTATTGACCATAAATGGGCAGTAAGTATAATCATATCATCTGTGTTATCTACTAATTTAAAATGATCATTTTGAGTGAAGTTACGTTTCTTTATAAAGATACCCAGGTCCAATTATTTTTGCCAACATAGGAGATAAACTTGTTATCACTGTGGTCAATCGTTTGGAGGTTCCATCTTCGGGTACATCATTAGCCTAAACATGCGTTAGTTTCGCTAATGCGATGCGATACTGACTCTGCAATCTGTAAATTTAGTTCATTGGCATGGGATCGATCAAGTCGGCACCAATTGGTATGATGGCGTCCCAGGGGTCACTCAATGTTTGATTCAACCTGGAGTCAGCTTTACGTACACCTTCACCCTTTTCCAATCTGGAACCTACTGGTATCACTCTCACTATCGTGGTCAACTTCTTGACGGATTAAGGGTAAAGTAAACTGATTAGAAGTCCATGATAATAGAAAAATAAACAATATGTAAGGCGCTTTATATAACACCGTTTTAATAATCAAAGGGTCCTCTTGTTATCTTCGATCCTGCTGATCCTAACAAAAGCCTATACGATCAAGAGTATGCGATGACCCTTGGCGATTGGTATCATTTTGCAACAGACACACCACAATTCAGCAATGGTAGATGCAAATAATCTTTAAGTCATTTTTAAATAACTCGCAAAGTAACTAAACATTCATCCAAAATTTAATAGCCTCGGATCCTTTCCCTGATTCTGCGGAAATAAGTGGAGTGGGACAATTAAATTGCTCAATTCCAAGTTGTGACAGTAGTCAGAAATACGCCACCTATAAAGTCACAAAGGACAAAAAATATCGATTTCGAATAATCAATGTAAGCGCAATGTCACATTTTAGGGTCACCATCGACAATCATCCGCTCACAATCATCGCAATCGACGGGATGTCAGTCAAACCGTATGCAGTTGAAATACTCTCAATTAACATTGGTCAACGATATTCAGTTGTTGTTACGGCGAATCAGGCGGCAGGAAATTACTGGATCAGAGCAAGTATTTCGCCATGCAGTGGGGAACCACCTAAATTAGTAGGCGGCATTCTTTCCTATGACAACGTGTCGGTATCTAACCCCACTTCAACAGGATATAGCAGCCAGACAGATGATTGCCGCGATCCTGATGATTCCGTATTACAACCTTACCCGCTTTCCCCATCAGTACCGCAGGACAAAAATATCACGCAGCTGAAGCTTGAAATTAACGTTACATTCTTTAATGACCCTATACATCCAAATGGGACCATCAATAACATATCGTTCATTCCAAACTACTCATCTCCGTCCATCAAGAGGGTTATTGACAACGTCAGCTTTGTTCCCAACGACAACGCTTATTTTTATTACAAATTAAATGAGCCAGTTGAGATTCTTTTAATTAATGCAGAAAATCGGTCCCACCCCTTCCATCTGGTAGGTTTTATTATTATACAGTATTACTTGAGGTTTGGTTATATGTTGACGCACCACTTTATATTTAATTAGCACGGGCATACGTTCTGGATTGTCGCTAGGGGCTCAAAAGATAATATCAATTCCATTAATTATAACTTTAACAATCCGCCGTTTCGTGACACGGCGACCATTGACCCGCTTAGGTAAGAAAAAAAAAAATACGATTATCTTACATTCAGGTCACATGAAGTTCACCCATTAGCTAATCTCAAACTCCTACAGTTATCTTGCAATTAGGTATTATGCAAATAATCCAGGAGTCTGGTTGATTCATTGTCACATTCAGTGGCACTTCGAAATGGGAATGGTTGCACAGTTAGTGGAAGTGCCCGATGTATTCAAAACCTACACCATTCCTCAAAATGTACTTGGGCTCTGCAATCAAAATTCTTCATCCTGGTGACACTAAAATTGTATTCACCATACCGTTTTGATCATTTATTAATTCCAACAATTTATTCACATGTACTGTATTTAATTAAAGAAGTATGATATAATCACAATATTCTTCCCGATAGTAGTTGTCTAACTAGTAAAAACTCGCTGGTGTACAAGAAACGAAGCAATTAGCCAAAGCCTTCTCGAAATGAAATTAAAAACTAAAATTAAAATGACCAAAAAAAGCAACAACTTAGTGGCTTCCATACAGTATTAAGCTTGATTTTAATAAACATTCGCCTCACTTGAATTTCTTGAATTTCTTGAAATTAATCATTGTTGTACATCATTACTAAGTGGCACGGATTATCACGAGTGCAGTACGTAAATGAGAGCGTGATTTTATTCGGAAAGTTTTTCATAAAAGCAATATGTACCTTATTTTATTGCTATCACTATCTCGGACCAGTTCATTTCGTGACGATGGATCGGAATTCAAGGTAGAGATGTACTTCTTAGGCTTGACTCAACATTCGAGTCATGTATTTAAGTTGGTAAGGTTTTCTTTATCGATCTTTCTTAACCGCAATTGTGGCTACAATATCCTAGTCGGAACCAGTTAGAACTTTTCGCACTTGACAACTCTTCTATTTAAACTATTTCCAAATTTTCCGCTATATAAAATGTTCTTAGAGCTCAAAACATTACTTCGTCGTGTATTCAACTGTAGGTATTATTATACATTTTATTTTTTAGTTATAAAATAATCGAGATGGAATGTTGTACATAATGCAAAAAATCCCAATCAAAATTATCACGTGTACGTGTAATGTACTGCACATCTTAAAATTTATATTAAAATAAAACGAAAGTTTTAAAATATTTTTAGATAGAGCCGATCGTGCACGTGGTTATATGATTTTTGTTTTCTGAATAAAAACTGATTTAAATATCTTGTTTTTTTTATTATTTAAATAATCATTGATTCGTTCCTATACAGTATTTTGTTAAAAAGCTTATTTGGTTATTTTTTTTATTTAGAAAAATTTGCAACATTTGTTGAAAATTTAATTGATTTTTTGATTTTTAAAATTTTTTTAAAATTCATTAATTATTAAATTCTAAAATAATGATTAAAATTAATAACAATACTACTGTATTTTAAATATTTTCGTTTGATGATTATGCAAATATTCAATCTTATTTTTGTAGTTAAATTTATTTTACTCAATAAATTATATTTTAAATTACTGTTTATACATATTTTTAGCTAAATACAGTATATAAATATTTTATTATTAATAAAAGATTTTTATTGTGTGAAATACATATAGAAAAAAAATTTTTTTTTTATAAAAATTTTTTATTCCTATGTTGTTATTCGATTATTATAAAAAAACCAAACCAAATTCAATTTATATTATATATATTATAAAAATTTTTTAATTTATAAACCTTTAAATAAATAACAGACTCTTTCCACTGATCCTTTTGCCAACCCAAAAAACAGACGTTCTTGAAAAACTTTCATGTTTCTCAATAATAAAGTCTACACACTT